GGGACGGCAGTCTCTACACGCTGCATGACGTCTACCCAGCCGCGGTTGAGAAGCCACCAGGAGAAGGTGAGGTAGCGGCGGTTGACTTCAAAGTCGGAACCATAATAGTGCTCGGGATTGTTGCCGTCGTCGTCGTTGTTTTCGAGGGAGATGGTTTGCTGGGCGGAGCCGGTGGCGAGGGAGACGACCGAGGAGAGGTAGGAGCGGCGGCCAAGGAGGTTGAGTTGAATGCGGGTTAGCATGGTTAGGAGGGAGAGCGTGTAGAGGAGAGTGTAGGCTCGGGTGATGGCTGGAGAGACAGGGGGGAGTTAGTATTGGGGGTTGGAATAGGGGTGGGCAGGGGGCGTACAGCTGATGGTGAGGTCATTCCAGAGTTGCCTTTTGGTCTTTTTTGGTTTGGGGGGTACTGAAAGGGCATCGCCTTCTTGGGCACCGTCGACAGGGACATTGCCGTCCCCTGAGATGGCAGCTGCTATGGAGGTTGGGACAGCAAGCTGACTTGTTTGTAGGCCGGCGTCACTTGTGACACTGACGCTGAACATGCTCCTTCCATCGTCATCTGTCTCTGCGGAAAGGCTGGGTGGACTTGTTGATCCGATGCTCTTCGTCCTGGCTACGGCAGAACCTTTCATCTGTTGGATTTCATATGTGATTCTCTCTGTGTTCATCGCCTCGAGGATGTTTGTCGTGGCGGTAGGTAGGAGGGCGAGGACGGTGAAGGTGCAGTCCTCTTGGTTTTGTTCGAATCGTCGTCGCAGACTGCACAGACAGATAGCATCAGCATTGGGGTGTTCATCAAGGAGGCAGAGAGAAGGCATACTTCTCCTTGGCGATGCGATCGCTGCTCATGCGCTCGCGCGCATCCTGGAGTTTGCCCAAGACATAATTGGTGACAACATAGCCGGCGCCGATAACACCAGCACCGATGGCGAGAGGTGTTCGGTTGCGGCGGAACCACCGCTTCGTGGCGGCCAACATGGCAGAGTTTTGGGGGATTCGAGCTCGATCACAGCTCCTCCTTAGAATCAGGAGACGGCTACCTTATGCATGTGGTTGACGGGATGCACGTCTACACTACCGGGGGCGCGACACCAGCTGCTCTGGGCCTCCAATCGCGCTGAGCGAACCTCGGCTCTGCGGTTCTGATAGGGCTGATACCGTGATCCGGGGTAGGAAATCTGGAGTCAACCCTAACCCTTTGACACTCTGCAACTACCCCACGCCCAGCCCAGGGAGGGGCCTTCTTCACAATCCACCGCCGCTTCCGTTTCGCTGATGGCCAACGTCACAGTTTGCTCGCCACGGACTGCCCCTGCCCCTCACCCGTAGCGTTGTCCGCTATCGTTTAAAATGTTACTTTTGCTACCCCTCCACTCCCTCGCTCAATGACACCACAACCACCACCACCACCACCACCACAGCTGTCTGGATAACATCACCACCTTTTCACTATCAGCATCAGTCATATCAGCAAATATCAGCAACCATGAACGCGGAGGGCCCGCCCGAGTTTCTGCTCGAAGCATTCGCCGACCCTAACACGGTGCGGGATGTTGTTCGCGGTAGGCTTCCCCTATTCACCCCTGTCTGCCCCTCCATCCTCTGATTGTCCTGCTCTACAGGTATTCTGCACACCATATTCTTTATGCGTTTCTTCCAGTCCATCCAGGCTGCCACAGCCACACGCGACTGTCTCGGGATCGACCTCGCCTACGTTCCCGACTCCGCAATCGAGACGCTGATCGACCAGCGCGCAACATCACTCGCACGACAACTAGACGCTGAGCGCCCATCAGGAGGAGGTGGCCGCGGTCAGATCACTGTTCAGTTCTTTGAGAAGAAGCGTCGTAAGGGGACCTGGTTCGGGGCCGACGATGAGCTCTGCTGGGAGAGGTGGACCATCAAAATTACCGTCGCTGAACCCAAGACGGAGAGTGGTATGTTGATTTGACCTTTACTTTTTGTCCATTTTGTATCACCGAACACTAACTCACCCTCTTCGAAATATAGACCGTGCTAAGGTCCGGAAAGCAACCGAAACCACGCTCCGCTCTACCGTCTTCAAGATCATGACCTGTGTGACCGGCCACATGGACCACATCCCTCCCATCACCGAATCCAACGTCAACCCCTTCCCGTACCGCATTTACATTGGTAATCCTCCAAGTAATCAGCAATCACCATCATCGCAACAAAAGGCTGCCACGGCTGCTGCTGGAGTCGGAGCTAGAGTCGACGCTGTAGCGGGTGGCTGGGCAAAGAAGATGGGGATCTATTAGGAGGATTTCCTCAGCAGTGACGCAGTCACAAAGGTGGTTGATATCGCAAAGGATATTGGTGACAAGGTTGCTGCCGCTACGAAGGAAGTTGAAAAGAAATTTGACGTTTACCTGGCACAGTTGGAGGAAGAGGCCAGGAGGGCCGAGATGGAAGAGGTGAGGAGAAATGAGGAGTGGTTGCTAGTGGCTGAGGAGAGTCGGAAGAGGAATATGGAGCCGGCTGGTCATGGTGGCGTCGAGGAAAAGAATCTACCCAAGGGCAAAAAGCACGATCACCAGCAGCCCCCCAAGAAAGATGATCAGTATGAGGAGATTCTCTAGGATGTGGACGGCCTTGGAGAGGGACCACCCGAAAGCAGCTGTTCGAGTTCGGAATCGTCTGTGTGTTCCTCAACAATACTGCTGTCCGGATCGCAGGAACTTGATCCCATAACAATGGGGCAAATCCTCCCTAAGAAAAAGGGCACAGACCCACCGGGGCGCGACATGGTCGATAGTTGGGAAGAGCAAAAGCTGCATGGTGTTTTCAGGGATCAGAAGAACTGCAAGGAATAAACGGGACAGGCGTTTGCTAATTAGAAAAGGACGGGAAACGGGCGTTTGGATTTGGTCATTATGCTTCAACGCTACATTTGTAACACAGCACGGAAGGGAGAACAGCAGGTTCATGGTGGCTTTCGACAGTCAGAGGTGGGTATCACGCGCAACATGGCGGATTACAGCGAGTCTAGGGATACAACTGAAGGCGCTAGTCATGGGTAGTTATAGATTTTCTTATCAGGTAGGTACTAGGTTCATCGAGATACCCCTTTTTTTCTTGACTCTTTCTCTGCGAGGAGAGGATACACAATACAATTACTTTCTAATGTTGCGTCTTGGTTCTCTATCTTGTCTCAGTGTTGACTTTGAATTATGCCTGTCAGCTGGCTGGGTTTCGGTATGCGGTTGGCAGCGGTGTGGACTGTTGTCTGATCCTTTTTACGTTTGATGTGGCAGAGAGCTTTTACAAGACTGTTCGTGACGATGGTAGGCGGTGCAGAGGGCGCTGCATTTTGTTTTGAGGGGTTTGAGAGAGGTTGAGGATGGCATTCGAGATGGTCGCGGTGATGAGCTGGATGAACAAGAGGGAGGAGGCGGGGCAATGGGGGAGGAGGATACGGCTAACACAGATGACCCGGAGGTGAGGAAGGGTAGGGTAGGCGGGCTGGTTTTGGATTGGTTCTCTATGTTCATTCCGGTGCTTAGAGTAGTAGGTACTTCATGTCAAAACAATTGAGCCGTTTTCTCTCGTCCAACAACTTTCAATGGCAAGAGTCTTTTCCATCAGCGGAACCCCATCCTGTTTGGGAGGAGCAGGGCGCTACCAAAGCGTGGAGTCAGAGGTTAATATAGGCAAAGATAGGGAAAGCGAACCTGAGACTGAATGGGGTGGTTGGATATCAGTTCTTATATATTTCACTCTCATGATCGATTAGGTGCCAGCTATCTTACAGACTGGACAGGTCGTCAGTTGCCAATGATCTACCTCATTCATCATCTCTTGTTCTTCAGGGGCGGAAAGAGGCACAGGGTTAGGGTTTTGGCAGTCTCTCGAAAATACCCTTGAACCCCCTGAAAAATAAAGCGCTGTTGGCCCATCAACTCCACTGATCCATTCTCAGCATCTCAACTTGAACATGTCATCACAGCGATTATCAAAGCTCTGTACAGAATGCAATCTGGTTTGTCCCTCAATCATTCACGGCCATCAGCCGCGCGATAATCAGTGCTTGTGTTTGTGTTCCTCCTCCTTCTCCTCATCCGCAGGGTCCATGTTGACAGCAGGCCAGTTGGCAAAAGTAGTCTCCCCGATTGTAACCTTGCCCGTAGTGATGGGCGCCGAGCCATTCTTGTACTGCTCATACATCTCGTATACAGACACGCTATGAACAGCACCCTTTGTGAGGGAAAGGCCTGCCGATTCGAGGAGGACGCGGTTGGTGTCATTGTCAAGGGGCCTGTGGAGTAGTTAGACTTCTGCCAGCATTTGTTTTCCGAAAGGAGGGACCAAGGTAGACTTACAAAGGCTGGATGCTGTTCTCAAACACATCGTCCAACACGACAACTACCCCCTTCCTTAATTGCTCATCGCTCAGATCGGACTCCAGGTCAAGAGTCACCCGCTCGTGGCTGATCTGGGCGTTGGGATAGGCTTTCAGCACGTGATCGAGGTGCACCTCGTTCTTGTTACCGTACAGGTAGAACGGCATCTTGTCCGGGTATGTCGTCTCCAAGGCGGCGTAAGACATGGACTCCTTGACTATGACCCTGATGTTGCTTAGCTCGATGTTGTCCTTGAGCGGCGGTGCGCCCGGCGGGGGTATCCCCACGTCCAGGCGCCACTTGGTGCTGCTGCCTGGTTTGAGCAGGTTCTCCAGAGTCTCTTTCTCCATGTTGGCAAGTGTGTAAACCACGCCTGGGTTCTCGCTGCGCAGCTTCTTGTAGTACTCCACCACATCCGGGGGGAGATTGCCCGTGATGACCAGTTGCCAGCGGTGGTTGGCCATGTTGAACATGGGGATGTGCGTGAGGTAGATCTCATCCACGCCCTGCATGACGAAGCCATGAACATCAGGACTGAGCTTGTTACGCTTGATGCAGCGTTTGATCCCTTCGAGCGCGACTGCCCTGAAGTCCTTGACTATAGTCTTCATAAAGTCTGGACTCGTGGGCCAGGGGCTCATTGTGACATTGACGAGGAATCGAAGGTCGCCCCGGGCCAAGTTGATACCGTCGTCGAGTCCCAGGCGGGTCTTGAAAGTACGAAGGCATCTGCCATAAGCCTCTTCACCGAATACAGATGAGGTCAGGAATAGGGGGCGCGCTGCCACAACATCCTTGTCGGACGAGACGGAAAGCTGTGAGAAGATCCACTGGTTGAGATAGTTCGCTTCTCCCTTCATATCATGAACCGTTAGTCCACCATTCGCTGTATGTGGAGAGCGACAGTAAACTTACCACATCCTGATTGATGTCGTCCCCAATCTTGAAGTTGCACGCAAACGCATTGATCATGAGGTCACCAGCCAGCTCACACAAAAGCTTCCATGTCTTCTTGTCCTCGAAAAGCTCTTCGTTGGTCCGGTTCAAGATCTTGTCTCTGATCAGCTCCTTCTGGGCTTCAATAGCCTCCGGTGACTCGCCTGCCTTCTCCGTCGGAAGACGAATGAGAGGAACAACGACGAGGGATTTCTTGAGTGACTCATGTTCGGGGTCAGGTTCCCCCTGTGTCTCATCTGCGCCGGATTCAGATTCTGGGGACGGGGCCATGGTGGCCCAATAACAGTACAGCTAATCCCATATCTGATTAGAGACCCCGGCGACCAGCAACTTCAAGCTGGAGGGAGTGTTCTGAACGTACCTTTGTGCAGGAGAAAACAGCCTCACCCAGCAATCTGCCATAACCATCATTGTGCAGACCTATCGTTTTGTGCGTCAACCATGCAGCAGTCGCTGCTGCGCCTGGCTTGCTGCCCTCCACACCGTAAACACCCATGCTTTCCAAAGCATCACCTTGATGGAAAACAATAGGGCTGGTCCAGGTAACGAGGTATCTCATACGCTGGTCACGGTAGCAGAGCCCGCCCGCAGGATAATTGATGTAACCAGACCTTTCCCATCGTGTCAGAAACTCTGAAATCGACATAGGCGGGGAAACACTCACTTGTGCGGGTCGATAGTGATGCTCTCGGCGTGGCGGAGGTTCCGAAGCTGCTTCACAGTATATGGCTGCAAGGGCATAGCGGGTACATACGGAAGGAAACCGTCTTGGTCCCCCCGCTCCCTGAGCGTGGCAGCAAAATAGCCTCCCCAGGCGGCATCGCAGTGAATGGCGAAGGAGACGCCTTCGTTCCTTTCAAACTCGTCACGAATCTTGACAATCTCAGCCACGGGGTCGCAGGCACCGTGCTCAGTAGAGCCGATGATGGCTACCACGCCATAGATTGGGATCTTGGCGTCAACACATTCCTTCAGGCGCTTTCGAAGGTCGTTGGTATCCATGCGAGCCTCTTCGTCTACATCAACGTCGATAAAGTTGATCGAGCCAATACCAGAGATGGCTACATGTGCAACGGCCAGTGTTAGAAGGAAAAGAGACCAACGTCGTTCTCAAAGGGCAAGAGAAACTCACCTCCGCCCTTGGGCCAGGAATAATGCTTGGTAGCACTGATCAAGAACTTCCCAGGTTCAAACCCATACTTTTGCTCAATCACGCTCTTTCCGGTGGTCTGAATGAGGTAGGGTTTGAGAGCAGCCTGCAAGAAAGTTGAAGAGATGGAGTACTGCTCAGCCAGAGTTGACGGTATCTCGAGGATGGTGGAGGGCTTGAGATTTAGCAGCTCCTAGGTGGACAACTCTGTGAATAGCTTGGCGTCCCCTGTGCTGGTTTTGACTTCGAACGCACCAGCAAGAAAATTCAGGGATCCTTCTTCAATCGCTCGTTTGAGAGAGAAGGGATAAAACTTGAGGTTGCGGACTAGAGGAGACTGTTAGACACCTTCCCTGTAAATTCAGGGAACAGGGACATTCATACTCGCCCAGATAGCCTCAAGGTTAGCGACGGATCCATCCTGAAGACAACAAAGCGTCAGTAATTCACAGCAATACAGTGTAGCACGGTTCTAGATATAACTCACACAAGTGATGTGGCCCCAGGAATCTGTTCCATATCCCAACATTCTTGCAAGCTCCTGTCCGACCTCTCTCTCCAGCTTGGTCGTGTGTGGGCTAGCCTCAGTGGCCACATTGTTGGGATTGTACATCATGGCCGTCATGTCTGTATATTATCAGTAGTCACCTCGGTCAACAGAGAGAATAACAAATCTATCCACATACAGCCAACAATGCTGGAAAGGGCAACATCCATATTCATATGAGCATTGTATCTGGGAGACCAAAACGGCACCGACTTTGCGGCCAACTCGAGGGAAAGTTTATCGACATCAGATGTCAAAGTCTTGATGCTGTTTTGGTAGTCTTCCAGTTCCTTCATCCCTTCGGTGATGAACTCGGGGTCTCCGGCATAGAGCGTCTTTCTGGCCTGGGCTTGATGGTTGAGGACGGTGCCAAAGAGATCGTGAAGGACCTGGAAATTCTCGGCCCTGGGGCCCAAGAACCAGGAACTGACCAAAGCATGCTGGGTTATGTTGTCGTCGTCCGCCATGGTCAAGGGCTGTGTGATGATGGGATGATCAGGGAGGATGGATGCTGTGAAGTAAGGTACAGGACAGAAAGGAATGTGTGAGATTCCGGTCTTGAGCTGGCTGGAAATGGTGCCCCTTCTTATACCAGCGTTGTTCAGCATGCTGCCACTCGGCACCTGGGCCGTTCACGTCAACCCGATTTTTCTCATGGAAGCATACTTGCCAATCGATTGATGGATCCGCACACCTGCAGCTGCGGTATATCTTTCCAAGGTCTGAATTTCCATACAGGCAAGCGCGGGACGAGTCAAAAGGCTTCATGGGCGAGAACAACGCCGAGGCGGGGTTGATCAGCCATGAATACTTTGATCTGTCATTGCCAGTCAGGTTAGCAGAGGTAGCAATGTCATGGAGTTCCGAGTAGACACCCAGCTGAAATACAACCCACCGCTACCTAGCGGATGTGGGCTTGCATGGCTTCGAGGAGCTTGGTCTGCCATAGAGCGACTGGAAAGCCTGGAGACGTACTCTGGGCTATCCCAAGTTTCCAGATAGGAAGTCAACGCTGGCACTAGTAGCCCTTCAGGCAGCTGAGTGATGCATGTTTCCATCTGGCTGCAGCTGGAGTTCTAGACCTAGGAGTGCGGAGAATAACTGGGGCAACTGACAACCTCAGCTAGCCACCTTCACCTCGTCACTTCCACAGCTAACCATCCACACTTATCACCACCACTAAAGCCTCCATTCCCATGCAGCTGTCCTATAAGCGGACCGCACCGCTCTGCACGTCGATCCACTGCCGTCATATATTGGAGAAGATCAAGACCGACCGACTTGTCGATTGGCGTCAACAAGTATGATACCAAAGAGATCAATGACCTCTTCGGCTACGTCAGGGACGTCGAGATCGCATATCTTCTGAAGCAGATTGCCAACAAAGGGGCCATCGTCAATGCGGTTCTTGATTCTTGCTACTCGGGCAGACCCGTGATGGCGACGGCACTCGAGGATCCGACCACATCCTATTCAGTAGAGAGGTACATAGAGGGCGAATTTTGTAATGAAAGGGTTGGTCCTGGGCTGTGTTCTGCCAAAATAGTTTCTTAAGTTAAAAATCGACTCCCATACGTCAAAGTAGATGCGAAACTTACTAGATAGAACCAACCAGATATATCAGTCTCCTCTTACAACATGAGAAAAAAAACAGCTGAAACACATCACATCACATTCAACATCATCAAGTGGAACAGCCAAGTACTGTACATCTACCAAAAAAGGCAGACTCTTCTTTATTTGACGACTCCATGGTATCTTGAATAAAAATTCCAGAAGAAGCTTCCTGTTACCCCTTCACACGCGCACTGCTTGGTGAAGGCAGACCGTAAAATAGGCCATGAGCAAATGAACACACATCTTGTTGAAGATGGCGATGCTCCCAGGCCCCTCTCTTCTTCTCTTCTCCCATTCTTCTTTCTTTCCCGAAAGAAACAAAACCCACCCAACACCGAACCGAATGAATCTCCTCTTTTTTTCTTTCACCCATAACAAAAAAAAAAAAACGCCGTGTTGAGAATGGCGAAACCCGTTCCACCCCTCACCAGTAATGTATGCTAATATGCTGTTGAACCAACCCATCCGGATTTTCCCCTTGCCCACAAAACGCCTTGTTGAGAATGGCGCTTTTCCATTGAGGTATCATCTAATCATCACCCAAAATTTTTTTGAACCCGTTAGAGACCCCCAAAATGCTAATGCTGTTGAAAAAAATCCGGAAAAAAGCATATTACACCATCAAAGCGATGGCGTGTACATGAAAAATATTAGGTAGGCGTTTAAGCCTTGTTGGCGTACTTCTCACGGAAGTACTTGGCAGCGTTGACCATGTGGGTGAGGGCACCCTTGACCTCGTCCCACTTGCGGGTCTTGAGACCGCAGTCGGGGTTGATCCAGAGCTGCTCGGGGCGGAGGAACTCGAGCATTTCCTCAATGCGCTGCTTGAACTCCTCCTCGGCGGGAACACGGGGGGAGTGGATGTCGTAGACACCGGGGCCGATGTGGCGGGGGTAGGCCTCGTCAATGAAGACCTTGAGGAGCTTGGCATCCGACTTGGAGTTCTCAATGGAGAGGACATCGGCATCGAGGGCAGCGATGGCGTGGAAGAAGTCCTGGAACTCGGAGTAGCAGAAGTGAGAGTGGATCTGGGTAGAGTCCTCAACACCGGCGGTGGCGAGCTTGAAGCTGTTGACGGCCCACTCGAGGTAGGCGTCACGCTCAGAGCCCTTGCGGAGGGGAAGACCCTCACGGAGGGCAGGCTCATCGACCTGGATGACGTAGATGCCGTTGGCCTCGAGATCGACGACCTCGTCACGGAGGGCCAGAGCAAGCTGCTGGCACTGGACGGACTGGTGGACGTCGACACGGGGGAAAGACCACCGCAAGCAGGTGACGGGGCCAGTAAGCATGCCCTTCATGGGCTTCTTGGAGATGGAGGCGGCATACTTGGACTCCTTGACGGTCATGGGAGCGGGGCGAGAGATGTCACCAACGATGATAGGGGGACGGACGCAACGAGAACCATAAGACTGAACCCAGGCGTGGGTGGTGAAGACGTAGCCGTTGAGGCGCTCACCGAAGTACTGGACCATGTCGTTGCGCTCGGGCTCACCGTGGACGTAGACATCGAGGTCAAGCTCGTCCTGGATGGAGACGGCGAGGTCGATCTCCTTCTTGATGAAGTTGTCGTACTCCTCGGCGGAGATCTCGCCCTTTGTGAACTTGTTGCGCTGGACGCGAATCTCGCTGGTCTGGGGGAAGGAACCAATGGTGGTGGTGGGGAAGAGGGGAAGGCTGAGGTGCTTCTTCTGCTGAGCATAGCGGGTGTCGAAACCGGACTTGCGGTTGTGCTGCTCAGGAGTGACGGCAGCCTGGCGCTCCTTGACCTTGGGGTCGTTGGTGCGGGTGGACTCGGCACGAGCCTTGATGGCGGCGGCGTTGGCATCCAGCTCAGCGCGGACAGCCTCGGGGTTGGTGACAGCCTTGGCAAGGATGGCAACCTCCTTGACCTTCTCGGAAGCGAAAGAGAACCACTCATAGACATCAGTGGGGAGCTTCTTCTCGCTGGCGAGGGTGTGGGGGGTGTGGAGGAGAGAGCTGGAGGTGGCAACGATGACACGGTCCTCGCCGAGGGCCTTGATGGCGGTCTGGAGGAGGTCGAGCGACTTGGCGAAGTCGTTCTTCCAGATGTTTCTGCCGTCAACGACACCGGCAGAGAGGATCTGAGAGGGGCCGAGCTGCTTGATCACAGGCTCGAGCTGCTCAGGGTTGCGGACAAGGTCGACGTGGATACCCTTGGCGGCAGAGAAAGCGGGGAGGACGTCAAAGTTGTGGACGATGTCACCGAAGTAGGTGGCAACGACGAGGGAGGGGATGGCATCACCAGCAGCGGCGAAAGCCTCATAGGCGGGCTTGAAAGCAGCCTTGATCTCGGGGGCGAGATCGAAGACGAGGGTGGGCTCGTCAATCTGGACGGTCTCGGCACCGGCGGCCTTGAGGGCCTTCAGGAGCTCGACGTAGACGGGGACGAGCTTGTCAAGGAGAGAGATGGGGTTGACGGAAGAGCCACGGTCAGCCTTGCCGAGGGCAAGGAAAGAGACGGGGCCGACAAGGACGGGTCTGGTGATGATGCCAGCCTCCTTGGCCTCGAGGAACTCGCGGACGGGCTTGGGGTTCTCGGCAAGGGAGAAGGTCTGGTTGTCCTGGAGGGTAGGCTTGACGTAGTGGTAGTTGGAGTCAAACCACTTGACCATCTCGAGGGCGGGAACATCGACACCGCCCTTCTGGTGGCCACGACCCATGGCGAAGTACTCATCGAGAGGGGAGAGCTTCTGCTTGGTGTAGCGTTCGGGAACGGCCTGTTGTGGGAGAGGTGGGTCAGCAAAAAAAGCCCGAGAGCAATTGACCGAGAGAGAGAGAAGCTTACATTGAAGAACTGGATGTGGTCAAGGACGTGGTCGTAGTGAGCGAAGTCGTTGGAGGGGATGATGTCGACACCGGCATCCTTCTGGATCTTCCAGTGGGCGAGACGGAGTCTCTTGCCCTCCTCGAGGAGAGCCTCCTGGGAGATCTTGTCGGCCCAGTAAGCCTCGTTGGCCTTCTTGAGGTCACGAAGGACGCCCATACGGCTGTGGGAAAGATATCGAGTTAGCAACCTTATCAGTGCCCAAAGCCGTCAGAGGAAGGAGCAATTGGAGCTTACGGGAAACCCAGCACGGATGATTGAACCATCTTGATGGCTGTGAGGTGTATCTGGGATTTGAAGAGGGAGATGGTGTTGTTGTTGGTTCACAGTGACCTGTTCCTTGAGCCTGGCTGGAGTGACAGACGCAAAGAGGGAGTGTGAAAAGTGGGATGAGGAGAGAAGGAGAGAAAGAAGGGTTGACTTGAGCGGGGGAAGAAAGAAATAAGTAGTGCCCAGAGGGGAATGGAACCGAACGAGTCGACCTGCAGGAGGGGGGGCAATTTTGAGTTACTCGGGCAGGGGCCAGCCTCAGCACTGGAGTGACTGGCAGTGTCAACGGGGCCGTAATCGGTGGGGGTTCCCACCGCTTGTTCGGAGCCCGACCGCCTTTGGATGGAGGATGGATGGACTGGAGACATCAAAGTGATGAGGTCCATGTCTCAGGTTCTTCTGCCCCTCCCGTTTCTTGCAGCATTGGCATCGCAGCTCAGGTTCTAGACTAGCTATCGAGAGCTCCCATAGAGAGCTTGCTTGCATGGGGATTGGGCACTGGGAGGTTCGGCACTCAGGTCTCGGGGCTCACTAATGGTGGGGCAGCAAGACGGAGGATGGAAAGCTTCAATCAACAATTCGGGGTCTTCGGGGCTTTGCTGTTAGGTAGGTTCGGAGTAGTCGTCACCACGGGACAGACAGCTTCAGGTCACTGAGTGACGGATCGACACCACCACACGGTAAGCTGGAGCTCAGGTACACTCCGTTTCTGTGTGACCTGGAGTACCCTGCTTGGGACCCCCGTTTACAAGTGAACGCTATCGATGGTGCAAATGATGTGACCCAAGGCCCGAGTCGACCGGGTTTTTCTCGCAGCCAGTCAATCTTTGACGCTCCGCGAACCGGGCTCCAGCAGAGCGGCCATATGCAGACTAGACCGATGTATTGTCACCGACAACGCTCCGGGTCGCGGGGTGTTTTAGTGAGGGGCAGAAAAAAAAAATAAGGTAGGTACGGAGTACAACCTTTGTGTTGGAGAGGTACTTAACCCACCGTTCCGTCCCCTCGGACGCCCCTGCCCTGGGCTCTTCAAAGGGATGGCATTCCTCCAGTCTTTCACGTCGAGAATGACACCGGCCAACAATACTATCCTAGACAATCGGAGGCGAGTGAATTGTTCAACAGCAAGACAAGAGTCGATCCCGGTTCAGTGACAGATGCGGGGCCGGAGTAAGCAGCTCAAAAAGCCAGGTTGACCCCCGCCCCCTCCACAATTTCGGTGCTGCAGGTGTGAGGTGAGGGGTGCCTCAGGCTGGTCAGAGCGTTGAAAAGCCAAAAATGCACCGAAAGTACGGAATGAGAAAAATGTCTCCGCCGGTTTTCTTGTCGATAACAGTTTGAACCCGATATGAGCATACCGCATTGGTGGATATGCATCACCTCGGTATTATGTATCTATCAGAGTTAATTACTTTGGTATGATGAACTCAGCCACACTCATGATGGAGCTTGGTCGTTCGAGTGACTTTCGACGCGCGTGGCTTGTACAGTGCAAGGCTTTGGCTCTTCGTCATCATCCCAACTGGAACTTGTCAAGTGCCAAACCTCCATTGGCAGCTCCGCTTGCTCATTTCACAGAGCTAATCTCATTAATTACTGCTTTTGATTGATTGATCTTTCCTTGATACATATCTGTCTCTCTCTCCCTCTTTGCAACAATCGCAGCCAACTGGCGACGGCCTGTTGTTTTGCCCTGCGATTACCGTGTTACCCCTTTTCCATCTGTCGTAATCCCGCAGTCTCATCGTCAACCTTGTCGCCGTCGTCGTATCCGTTCCCGTAGCCGCTCCCGATCGAACCGACGCGGTCATCGCTCGACGACATCATGTACTCGAATCCCAACTCGTTCCTGGGCGGGAACAGCCAACGCCCAGGGCAACCGCAGTATGGCAATCAGTTTGGCGCAGGAGCTGGTCAACCACAACTGCAGCAGCCAGGTCCATTTGCTCCTCAACCGACTGGCTTCGGTCAACAGCCGGCCCTGCAGCAACAATACACTGGATATCCAGGCCTGCAGGCCCCTCAACCTACCGGCCAACTTCAGCCTCAGTTCACAGGCTTTGGTCAAGCTCCCCAGCAAAATGTTGGAGCAGCGGCACCCCCTATGCCGGCTATGCCTCAGCAGTTCCAGCAACAGTTTCAACAGCAACAGCAGCAGTTCCAGCAACAACCACAACAGACATCGAGCCCCTTCGGCGCCGCCCCGAGCCAGCAGCCTCCTGCTTCGGCTTTGGCCCCCCCCGCTCCCCCCATGAAGCCCCAGCCGACCGGCTTCCACGAGATGGCTGCCTCCTTCCAGACTGCTGGAGGCTCGAAATCGACAGCCAGTGCTCCGAGAAAGACCAACAAGATTCCCAACATCCGCCTCTCATTCATCACCGCACAAGACCAAGCCAAGTTTGAGACGCTGTTCAAGTCTGCTGTGGGGGATGGACAGACCACCATGACTGGCGAGAAGGCCAGGGATCTTCTCTTGCGTTCAAGGCTGGATGGAGACTCCCTGTCTCATATTTGGTGAGTCTGGTGCTTGCTGGCGCATATACGTATCAAATCAATACTGACAGCTTGACTTAGGACGTTGGCTGATACCACGAGATCGGGACAATTGCATTTCCCCGAATTTGCTCTCGCCATGTATCTCTGCAATCTCAAGCTTACCGGAAAGACTCTCCCCGAACACCTTCCTGAGAACATCAAGAACGAGGTGTCAAGTATGGTAGATATCATCAACTTCAGCGTTGCGGAGGAGGCTGCCAATGCCTCTGATTCGGGAATCAGGCAGAACACCGCCACTCCTCCTGTTATCCAGCACCCTCAGCCGCAGCCATCGAACTCTCAACTTCTCCAGGCGCAAATGACGGGATTTCCTAGTCAACAAACCGGATTTTTGGGTGCTCAGCCAACGGGGATGCCCCAGGCGACAGGTTATACTGGTCCCCGGCCGCCCATGCCTCCAATGCCCACCGGTTTTGGTTCGTCATTGACCCCGAACGCTGGTCCGGGCGGGATGGTTGCGCCTCTGAATGCCCAGCCTACTGGTATTCCTGGCCAGTGGGGTCTTGTGAATACGCCAGCAACGGGTCTCCCTCTCATTGACGCCCTCCAGGCTCGCATGATGCCCCAGCAAGGCCGTGAGCAGCAGACATATACCACCGCCGGTCTGCAAGGAAACGCGGTCATTCCCTGGGCTATCACCAAAGACGAGAAGACCAGATACGATAGTCTTTTCCGTGCCTGGGACGGCCTTCACAAGGGCTACATCTCTGGTGATCAAGCGATTGAAATCTTGGGCCAGAGTGGTTTGGAGAAGCCCGATCTCGAACGTGTGTGGACATTGGCAGATAATGGAAACAAGGGCCGCCTCGATATGGATGAATTTGCCGTGGCAATGCACTTGATTTATTGCAAACTGAACGGGTATCCTGTTCCCAACCAGTTGCCTCCCGAGCTTGTTCCTCCATCAACCAGGAACTTCAACCAGTCCATTGGTATGGTAAAGAACATGCTTCACCAAGAATCCGAGTATCGCAAAAATTCTGGCGCCGCCTTGCTGCCTCAGAAGACCGGTGTCAGTTACCTCAAAGGCCACTCCTTCAAGGGAGCCGGAGCTGGCTTTGGCAACCGCAAGGATGCCACGGTCTTCAAGAACAACGACGAAGAGGTGGGCTATCGTTCGAGCGCCCGACGTAGGGTTGGCAACAACTCGCCTCGTCCAGAGTCGCCAGCTTCCGTCAACTCTAGTGAGGAGCTCAGTATTGAGCAGCTCCGCAAGAAAATCAAGGAGAAGCAAGTCTTGCTCGATGCTATGGATTTTGCTGACGAGAAGCATGCGGAGGAGGATGACATTCTTGACAGGCGTGACCGCCGCGAAGCTGACGAGCTTTACAGGCGCATCAGGAGAATTCAGGAGGATATCGATAACCACCCAGACGCTTCTCTCATCAGCGCTGACTCAGATGCTGAGAGGAGAGCATTGAAGCGCCAGCTGCAAAACCTGACTGACAAGATCCCAGATCTGGCGTCCCAGGTTAGGAAAACTGAGAAGGCGATTGCTGATGCTAGGCTGGAACTGTTCCGCCTCAGGGATGCCAAGGCTCACCCATCCAGCGCTGCGGCCATCATTGGCACTGGTCCGGGCGGTACCGTCACCGAATCTGACAGGCTCAAGGCTCGGGCCAAGGCTATGATGCAGCAGCGCACTGCAGCCCTTACAGGAAAGAAGATCGAAGTCAGCAACGACGATCTGGACGCCCCCAAGCGACTCGAGGAGGAGAGCATCAAGATCCGAACCGAGAAGGAGAACAATGAGCGGATGGTCCGCGATGTGGAAGACAGTGTTCGCGAGTTTGCCAAGGGCATTGAGGACAATATGAAAGAGGGTGCTCAGGATTCTACTACCGAGCATGAGAAGCGTCGCTGGGAAGATGGTCTGGGCGTGGAGGATGAGGTCAGGGATTTCATCTACGACCTCCAGCGATCTAGCCGTGCTGCTCGCATCAGATCACAGGACCGCCAGGGCGGGCGTCAACCTACCCAGGAACCCACCAGGGCTGAGGCACCACCATCTGCTCGCTCTGTGAGCCCTGCAGTCTCTCGCACATCGACTCCAAGTGCCCCAGTTGCAGGCGGTGGCTCGTACTCTTCCTACAAGACTCCGGAGGAGCGGGCCGCTTTTATCAAGCAGCAGGCCGAGCAGCGCATGGCGGAGCGTCTCGCTGCCTTGGGCATTAAGGCTCCCACCAAGCCCGGCGAGACTGCGGCCCAGCGGATGGAGCGTGAGCGGGCTGAGCGAGCCGCCAAACTGCGACAGGCCGAGGAGGAAGATGCCCGTCGCGAGGCTGAGAGACAAGCAAGAATTGCTGAGGAGACTGGGGCCCCCGCGCCAGCCGCCCAAGCCGCTGTTCCAAAGCCAGAGGGCAAGAAGCCACCTCCGCCCCCTAGCCGAAAGACCCCCAAGGTTGACGACAGGCGGGCCGAGGAGGAGGCCGCAGCGAGG